CCCCCCTTCTTCCCCCTTACCTTTTGAATTGGTAACTCACCATTCTCCCTTGTTCAAACCTATTCATAGTTTGATAGAAAGATATGTCAGAACTACATTCAATTTCCATGGGCGTTTTCCAATAGAAGGGAAAGAAAACAAAAATTGTGAGATGCAGCAGCAATTGAATTGAACCTCAAATTCAGCATTTAGACAAAATGCGTAATATCTGATAAGAACCACGGTGAATCACATCAAGAAAGTTAGTTATTGCAGTATAGTACAGCTGTACAAGAGCCCAAGGCCTTCTAAAGCCTATGCTAGAATCCCATACTCTAAATGTGGGACTCATCCTATACTTTGCAATTAAATCCCAAAATTCCACCATGCTCTACAGCCTTGGCACCCACATTGTTATGCTCTAACCCTTTCCCTAGTCCCATTAGAATACCGCAAAGCCAGCATCACCACTTGAGCCAATCATTAGCAACTGAGACATGATGAATAACTCTAATACCAATTAATAAAAACCCTTGCGAGAATTGCCCCACAAAAGCTAGGCATTGTAATTGGAGAGATAAAGGCCTTATAAATCCTACACCAAAATTCCATATTTCCAATGACGGATTTAAATACCATACCTACCTCGCAATCTTTTTTTTGGTACATTAATGGAAAGCAAACCTTGCAATCTACTAACAATAACATGCTCCTGGAACTCCACAAATCAAGGAAAAAATGGAAATCACCCACTTTGTTATGAGTATATAATTTCCAAGGTACACAGATCGACACTGATCACAATATATTTTGTTCTAGCTAGTTGTTGTTTAACAAGACATGTCAGAAAATTAGGAAATAACACCTTCCAGAATGTAACTAAACTTGCTAGTAACTTGAAATCTGGATTTAAGAAATTAAATTTCTATATATAATAATAAACCCCCACAAAACATTTAAGTAAGAACCACTGAAAAAATGGGCATAAATTAGCATACTCAAATTGATGAGACTCAAGTTACCAAGTGCCTTGCACAGTGACACTTATGAAAACCATAACTTCCTAATTTAAGAGATCAATGAGCTCAAAGATGGAAGATTTCACCCAACTATATATGTAATATAGGAAAACTGGAGTTTTAAAAAGGATCAAACAGGATATAGTGTGATAAACACCCAAGTACTTGGGGAACCCTCCCTAAAAGCTAGCTGTTAAGAGGGAAGAACCAAACACTTACATATTCCACCAAGCATCCCATACTACTCAGAGTGGGATTTAGTCAAACCCAGAAACCCAAGTCCCTATCAAAGTGACCAGAAGCCAATCCAACTGAAGGGAATCAAAGCCACCGGCAAGCCATAGCTAGCATCAAACTTCCATCACACACTTCATGTTCTCAGCATAGGACCATCCTAAGGATCCAGGTCATCGCTATTTCAGTACAGGACAAACATATTCTTACTGAATTTGAATTCATCCATACTAGATACTTCTCTAAAATTGTCTCCTTACTTTACTAGTCTTCTCAATAGCTACCCGTAATCAGGAGGAAAGAAAAAACAGTTGCACCATGCAGGCACAAGAAACAAAAAAACTAGCTATACAGTTCCTGTTAAATTTGAATACCTCAGCCCTACCCTTGCTTTACACCTCCATATCAAGTAGGGATGACTAGGTGGCAATTGGATCTATTAATCCATCATCTGCCCACATCTAAATGCAATTCATCCCACATATATATACTAATGTTTATTGAACTGGGATAGGATGAGTTTAAATTAAAGGGTAGTTAGTTAGTAAATCAACCAAAATTTTGGTTGGATATCTGTGACCCAAACCCATCCTTTACAAATACCAGCTCCCTTCACACAGATAGAAAGTATGAGACATTAATACAGTGGTTTGTGGTACATTTCTCAAAGACTTGAACAATGCAGATGATAGATGCAGCTTCCAGCAAGACTCCACAAATACCTATCTCTGGTGATGACATGTACAAATAACTAAGAGCATACTGAAGGTTTACCTTTGAGAACTCAAATAACATAGACAGTATTGGAGTTGCGTGGAATCAATTGTAACTCAACTGCTTTGGATGGAACTGGACTGAGATTGATTCATAACGGGCACAAGAGAAATATCCAGACTAAAAACATGGTATAAACATCTAAAATAGCTTATTTTTAAAATAAAAATAAGTGAATCCAAACAAATTCTTGAACCACAGTCAATAGATGACCAGGCAACAAACTGGAGCGCAATCTGTATGAGTCCGGTGTTCATTGTCTACAAGAGCACATAATTCCTTCTCAGTTGATAAAGATTATACTTGACAAAGTTAAATCCATCATGCCACTTGGGTCCCAACCTTGCAGAATGAAGAGTTCTAATAACCATTAAAGCAACTTTAAATTTGTGAAGTTAACTCATTAAAGTCATTTTGTAAATGCACTCCTACATTCCCTTCATAATAGTTTTACTAAACAAGTTTGTAGATAACATGCCTAACGCCTTTTTTGTTATTAAAGGAATGACAAAGACAATATATCTCAATGTAGCCTGGGAATCTCGATTAATCAACTGTATATTAACTTTATTTAACAAATAATGCCACCATATTCCTAATTACCATCAGCTTAAATAGCTATATGGTAATGCTTCCTATCCCCTAAATCAATATCAGTGTGCCAGAAATATCCAAGAGTTCAATCATCAACATGTGTTCCCCCTCTTTACCTTGCATATTTGCCCACAACAGCGATCTAAAACTGCATCACATTTATGAAAGTTGAAATGCAACACACATGTACCACACATGGTTTGGCACCACATTTATAAAAGCAGAAATACAGGACCAACTTACTATGCATGGCTCTACTTCAATCAGATACAAAAGGAAAGTGAAGTATAACATTAACAACAGCCACTGGATGCAAAGCTAAAAAACAAAGCTTTGATTTGAATGTTAGAATCTTCAACACACTACTACCATAAAGACAAGACAAACCAAAAAAGTAAGTAGACCTAGACTCATTTGTATGAAGTTATTGTGAAATACATATATTTGTATGTTTTGAACACCATATTAGTCCCCCAAACACCAATCCAGCCTTGAGTTTATAATTTATCAAACTTCAAGCCAACTTTCAAATTAAGAAGCCATACAAAAACGAATAACAATGAAAACTGGTAATTTAGGACAGTTTAGTCAAAAGCTTTAGCAGGTCCCAAGCCCCTACGCTATTGTTACCAAAAGCTTCAAAATGTCAATAAAATACTAAACCATAGGCAGAACCCTCCAAAAGCTTTAAAGTCAAGAGAACTAGCAAGCTCAACCATTTTTATAGAAAAACAGTTCACAAAAAATATCTCATCATAAACTATGAAATAAAGAACCCGCCAAAATGAAGTACTAAAAGCGTACCACTTGCTAGTATATTTAATTGCAGAACTACAAGAAACAACCAATTCAGAGCATTCAGTGCACCCCTAGAGTCCCAAACCAAAACCCACCAAAATGTAACCCAGTGAAGAATCCTCTTGCGACCCACTATTCTGGGGTCCAAACCATCATTCCTTCGTTGAAAACCAAAAGACTAAAAGGTACAACAAGGAGTGATCAAATGAAACCAAAAGGGGGGAAAACAAAGGTGAAAAGAAATTGTGCCTCACCGTTAGACCCAGATCGTTTCCCGCGCTTAATTCTCTCGAGCTGAACCTGTGTGTCCATAAACATCTGCATCCTCTGCACTTCAAGATCTTTAGCAAACTGCATCCTCTGTTTCTCTAAATCCACCATCTGCCTGAGCTTCTGCCCCTCCACTCTCTCGTAAACTTCACCAAACCTCTCAATCGCCCTGGCCAACCTCCTCATCCCTTCCCTCTCCTTATCCCCCTCCTCCACCTCGCTCCCCCTGCCCTCATCCTCCTCCTCCTCGACCTCCTCCTCTTCGGGCTCCTCCTCCTCCTCCTCCTCTTCCTCGTCATCCTCCTCGTCAGCCTCGGCCGCAGCGGCAGCAGCAGCCACAGCGGAGTAGTTCCTCCGGAAGTAGCCCTCGTCCATCGCGGCGGCGGCAGAGCGCTTCTGGGGGAGAGCGACGGCGGTGGGAGGGACGGCAATCGCGGGGGGGGAGGGGTTGTTCTTCCGATGCGGGAGGAGCGGAAGCGCGACAGGCGGAGAAGGCGAGGGGGAGGAGGAGGATTTCTTGGCGGTGAAATTAGGGCCGATGAGGGCGTCTAAGCGGTCGAAGAAAGGCCAGGAGGAAGAGACAGCGCCGTTGGAGGAGGAAACCCTAGCCTTCTCGATCTTGTACTTCTTCTTAATGGTGTCGATGCGGTTCTTGCACTGGACGTCGGTGCGGTGGGTCTTCTTCGTATGGCCGTGGAGCGCGTTGACGGCGTCGGCGACGTCCTGCCAGTGCTTCTGGCGG